CCCCCCCCCCCCAGTCTTAATCACCAGTGTGCAAAAAGGAGTGAAATGCTAATTTCAGGACTAAGGTGTGTTACCTTAAGCTGGTAACCAAGTATAATCTTAATCCTGTCTCATCTTGTCCCTTGGGTAAATTACGTAAACTGTCGTCTTTTCACCTACCTATCTGAAAGATGGAATAAAGCCGTCTGTAGAATATCCAAATGCTGTGGTCCTGAACTGTTCCAAGCTGATGTTGCATTTATGAAAAATGCACTGTCAGGTCTGAGTGGATCTGTTTGACACCGTCTCCTCTTCCATGCTGCCCAAACACAGAGATGGCAGATGGCTTGAGTCAGCACTATCTTTTATAGGAAGTGGCTCCCTTGGGATGGGGCTAGCAGGGGTATTGAATACTTTTGTGAAAGGGTCGGGATGGGGCTAGCAGGGTTATTGAATACTTTAGTGAAAGGTTCTGAGTAAGTCTTGATTTATTTATTTTTTTTAAATAAAAAACCCCCAAAACAACCCCCCCCCCCAAAAAAAACCCCAAACACTAATTAATTTTTCTTTGCACTGGAAATATGACTTGAAATTCTCCAACCAATAAGCTTGATGTGAGTAAATAGTGACTCTAAAAATGTTTTCCAGTTACTTTTTGAAAGGAAAAAACCTGACATTGATGGAGACCTTTTATGTCTACTGGACAACTTTTTTGGTGGTTTGTGGGAGGTGCTTACATGAGTGTCACCAATTTATATAATGAATATAACTTTTAAGGTCGAGAGCAGGCTGAACTGACTGGACACAGGCTGGCAAGCTTGGGATTAAAATTTGATCAGATTATCCACTCCTCTATGACTAGAGCAACTGAAACAACTGAAATTATAAGCAAACATCTCCCAGGTAAGTTACTTCCCTTAATTTTTCATTGTCTTCTGATACTTAGAACTGCTTCCAGTAGAATTCTAAGCTTGTTGTTAAGGTTGAGATGTTATTTAGCCAGCTTCCAACCCTGTGTGAATATGTCTATATTTGTAAAGAAACTAACAACCCTAATTCTGCTTGTTTCCAGTTCATCTTTAAAAATACAAGAGCTATCTGCCCTCTGAGTGACTAACTGCTACCTGTATGTACTGCTGTGTAGGAGAGCTCTGCTGGTTGCTCTTCACTTACGCATTTTGTAAAGCAAAGACTGTCACAGGTCATCTGGATTGGCTCTGTCCTCAGTCTCAGGGGGCAATAGTGCAGGAGAGAAGAGGATCATAAACTCTAGTGCTTGTAGTGATACTTGCCGGGTTAGTTAACAGACCCTTCTTGTGTGCTGTGCTATTTTATCCTATGTGCGGGGGAATATCTGGCACACTCGAAAGGTGTAGGGATTTTTTTAATGTGGGTGCTTTGTTTATGTGGGGGTTTGGGTGGTTGTGGTTTTTTGGTGGTTTTGTTTTGGTTTATTGTTGGGGGGTTGTTTGTTTTTTGTTTTTCTCCTACTGTTCAGACATACCAGAATCTAAACTAAAGATATTTGACTATACATAATTCTGTCTGGTATTTTAGCAGATATTCAGATATGACTAGCTGAATGTCAGTTCTATTAACCATTCTGTGTTTGTTTTCTTAAATATGCTGCTTCAAAAAAAACCCCAAACCCAACAAAACAAAAACACAAACAGCTCCCCAACCTCAAACTCCAAAACAAACATCCATCCCCCCCGCCCCCCAAACTATCTTTCCTTCCTCTGATTAAGTATCATAAGTGTAGCATTAACATTAATTAGCAGTGAGCAGTAACTGACATACAGCTTTAGATTAACATCCTTGCAAGTGCATTTCTTCAGAGTGCAGCACACTGGGAAGACTCAGCTTGTGTGCCAAGTTGATCTGGCTGTTCTCTGTTGGAAGAAACTTTGTCTTGCTGATGACAAAAATAGTTGTGTTGGAGAGATTCACACCCCTTGATGGGAAGCGTGTAGACCAAAATGGTCTTTAGGATGGAGAGGAAGACTTCCTTGAAGAAAGAGTATGAAAAAAAAAATGTATTGATTGTGGAGTTGTGGGCCTGTTTGCAGTGGCATGTGATGTTAACAACTCCTTTCTGAATGTATATTTAATATTTCAGGAGTCAAAAAAATCAGTACTGATCTGCTGAGAGAGGGAGCACCTATAGAACCAGACCCTCCAGTCTCTCACTGGAAACCAGAAGCTGTGGTAACTTTTTACTTAATTTTTTTTCTTTACTTGCTAAGTTTTGGGTTTGTTTTTTTTATATTGACAGTAGCGATAACTTGCAGTGTCTGAGCTAATGCTTTCCATCATACACCTTAGATAATTGAGTACTTTTCTCCTCCCCAATAAGGGTACAGAACAATTAAAATAAACAATCCTTAAGTATTAGTTCAGCCTCCAGTCTGCATCCCTATAAAGAAGAACTCTTTAGAAGATACCACCCATCTGCAAATGCAGACAATGGTACGTACCGCTCTGAGCTGTGCTTAACTCTGAACTCTGTGCCATTAGCAGTATTACGAAGATGGAGCTCGAATTGAGGCTGCTTTTCGAAACTTCATTCATAGAGCTGATGCAAAGCAGGAAGAAGACAGCTACGAGATCTTTGTCTGCCATGCCAATGTGATCCGCTATATTGTGTGCAGGTATGGTGTTGGATTGCATGTTCATCTGTGTTCTTTAAAAGGTCATAGTTTTACTGAAATAGTGTAGGTTTAGGGCACCACTGAGCTAGGAGATGTGTTGATTTGGCTTGTTTGAAGTGGTTGGAGGTCAGCGCCTGCGTTGTGAGCAGCTGCTTCTGCAACTTCATCACAGGATTAATTTGCAGATACAGGACACATTTGAAAATTAGAACACTGTCATTCTAATTCTAAAGTGAAAATGGCTAAATTGTTGCGACTTGAAACCTTTCTGTACGTCTGAACAGTCTGTTTTAATACCATATGCTTCCGCTTCCCATAAACCTGAGGACAATGCCTGTGTGAACTGTTGGGAAAGACAACAAATAGAGCATCTGACTGGATGCATCTTTTTGAGGTGACATGAATTTGGTCTTACGTAATGAAAAATTGATTTAGTTTTGGGAATTCTTTACTAATGGAAATTTTTGTATTATGTTGAAGTTGTATTAGTGTGTTTCTGCAGTAACAGCCAGTATCGGATTAGAGGGCAGAGTCGATCTTTCCGCTAACATCAGAGTTGTTCATGAAGGAGAAAACAGTTCTGGATCTTTGCCTGTCTCTGTATCCAGGCAGCTGAGTCTGTTTTATTCCTCTTCCCTATCAACAAAGCACTGTCTGTAAGATAATTTGTCTTGAGCAGGACAGATGTGATTAAACTTTAATCTGATCAATACCTACAACAATTTAAGTTAGCTTTATTTAGCTGAGCTAGTTGAATGCTAGCCCGTCTGCTCTGTGGACTGCTTTAGAGCTCTTCAAAATTGCTGTACTTAATGTTATCGATCAGGTAAACAGGCTATTCTTTCCTGTGCCAGAAAAGATTGACTTGTTCCTACCTAGGCTTTTTCTGAAATACTTGTATACTTTTTCTGTTTGCTGTTTCTTCCCTCTTTCTAACTTCTCTTCTGTGCCTTCTGTTCCAACCTATCTAATCTCACAGTTGAACACAATCCATGTAGTGTTCCCTTTGAACCTAGCTTGACTGTAGCTGTTTATTTAATTTCTTAGCATTTTTAAAAGTCTGTCATAAGAGCCAAAATGAAGTTATTCCTCAGTATCTGAGGCAAAAGATGTTTGAGATGACATGAATTTTTTTTTCCAGCTGTTTACCACAATTGATTGAACTCCTAAGACTGTTCAGTTAGGAATTTTAGAATAGCTGGAGACTAGCTGTGATACTGTATTTCTACAAAAAGCACGAGGTACTTTTTCTTGCCACTTCTGGGGAACACTGTAGCTGATGGAAAATAGTTCTCGTGAATTTCTTCCATAGGCACATGCGGGCAACTAGAATGAATCCTGTCATCTCATCACCTCTTCTCAGCTATTGTTACATACCCCCCCCCCCAAGTTGATAAAGTTAAAGTGTGCTGTTTGCCACTTACGCATTTGGTCTGGGGAGGAGGCCGTTGAGGTGGCGTGCCATCTCCTCTGCCTGTCCTGAACTGTGCAGGGGTGTGTGGCACTGCAGTTGACTCGGTGACCAACTGGAACCTAGGCCATCCATTGTCCTGGTTGTTATGAGGTTGCTCAGTGTGTCCAGCGACCTGACATTAGCGTTTCTACCTTCTGTCGATTTGAATTAATCCTGTCTACAATCATCCTACCCATCTGCTGGACTCAGCTTATGCAAGTGCATTGTTGGCACTGGTCCAGGTATCAATGCTGCATTTTTTCTCATCAATACCGCACAACAAAAATATTTTTTTCCAAGGCTGCCTGTGGAAGCATTTGCATGCAAGTTGCAGAATGACCAACAGTTGTGGGTTTGTTTGTTTTTTTTTTCCCCTCCCTCTTCCCCTCCTTATCTGGAACAGACGTTGGTGCTGTGAGGGCATGCTAATATAACTGTTTATGAATTAATAATTTTATTTTTTTTTAAATAGAGCATTGCAGTTCCCCCCAGAAGGCTGGCTGCGAATGTCCCTTAACAATGGCAGTATAACTCACTTGGTGATACGTCCGAATGGAAGAGTGGCACTTCGAACACTGGGTGACACAGGTTTCATGCCTCCAGATAAAATCACGCGCACCTGAATGAGTAAAACTGATGGCTGTCCAGGAGCTGCCTCTAGTCTCTTTGCACTGGTACATTCAGCTATGGTACCACTAGCTTTTCATCTGTTCTATTGGGGTGTGATGCTGTCTTAAAATGTCCTTTAGGCCCTTGCCCCTTCATACATATTCATATCTGCCTTTCAGTCCAGAAAAGAAGAAATTTTTGTAAGTCTGAAGCTGCCCAGTCCTCAACTATGCCCCAAAGCTGAGCTGTGGAATACAAAAAGAGATTGAATGTCTGTGTGCTCAGCAGTTGCAAGAGCATTGACTTTCCCCCCACCGCACCGTGAATTTCTATAACCAAAGCTTGCTCCTGTGGATATTTTTCTTCTGCAGGAAAGCAATTGGTGTGGGAATGGGAAGGAACAGCCTTGTATCACCCTGCAGCTAAAAACTGAAGACAAACCAGTTTGCTTCAGCTCTTGCAGAAGAAGTGACAAACAGGGTATTTTCCTGTTCAAAGGATAAGGCTTCAGTTTTTGTAAGCTGTTGAGGATGTATGTTTGTGTTTGTTTTATCAATCATTGTTCCCCTCTGCTGCCAAAAAAGCTCATGTAAACTGTGCCTGGAGGTTCTAAGCATAAAGCAACGAGGGTAAAAAAAAAACAAAACAAAACAAAACATTTGCCTCAGAGCTGTGGTGCTAGAATTAACTGCTGCTTATATTAAGTAAGTAAGTGTTCCTCCATCCTCAGGAAGTACTTTAAGCTATTCTGACCAATGCTTTTCAGTCTCATAAAGCCTTTAACTATAACTTGGACTGTAGGGATGAGTTTGTAGCAGTAAGCTGGAAGGAAAGGAAAGCAGCAATCTTCTGAAAGTGCTTCTGGTTACTGACTCTTACATTTTTGAGTACTTTCTCCCATTGATTTGTGTTTGTTGGCACCTTGCTTCTGGAGTAGAGAAATAACCACCACTGAGTTCAAGGTAGTGATAGTTCAGGTCAGAGATTCTGCAGTATTGGAGCAAACGCTGCTGCTTAAAACTACTGTTGCCTGAATGTATCTGTGGGATGGCTCTTCTAGGCCAAGTTTGTAGTACAGACACATCAGGCAGAATGCTTTAAGTGGCTCCTTTGTACAGCTCTGACACTGCTGGACTTGTCCTAGGAAAAATGCAGGTGGCCAAGAACTAGGTTTCATTTTTTGAGGTGGGGCTCAGAAGCATTTTGGCTTAAGGATGTTTGCTAGGCACCTGAACTGGTGTAGTAACTTGGCTCACTTTTAATAGCTGGGATGTTGAAAAATTTCACTATAAGCATAGTCTGCCATGGTGATAGCAAACACAAATAACTTGTTTGACAGGTTCTCTTATCACCAAGGATGTTGACGACACCCTAAAGTTGCTCCTGTCAGAGCTGTATGAAGCATAATCATGGCATGCAACTTAGCAAGACAAGGTTTAATGGCTTGTTTGACACAAGACTGCTACCTCAGGATGATTTCAAGTAAGCTGGGGCTAGGAGGGAACAATACATGATTGTTGTGTAGTGCAAGTTGGGGGGGCAAGAGGAGACCATCATGACGTCTCTGTCATTGATGCAATGAAAATAATTTATCAGTTTTTGTCTATTAACTTTTTAAAAGTTTTGAATAAAATAACTGGTTGTCTGTCTGTCTTGTCTCTTCAGTTGAATAGTTGTATGACCATCTCCTGTAGAACGTAAGGCTGAAGTGCTGCACAGTGACTTGTATGTCTGCCAGCCAAGCAGCCTTTGTATCCCAGGTTGCCTGGGGCAACCATTCATTTACCAACTTTGTCATTTTAACTCCAAATATCTGAAATGCAAACTTGAGAGAGTAGCTACCTCAGAGTTAATTATCATCACCTACAGCAACATGTGTGCAGGCACTGTAGCGCACAAGAGGGGACTGATGTCCTGGAGGCACAGCCCTTTGGATCTTGGCGTTTTGGGAGTGCCAGGGCTGCATCACTCACCACCACGTGGAACACAAGCACCAAAGCAAGTAAGATGGAAAAATTCTGTGCCTTTTTATTTGTGTGTGTGTGTGTGTGCGTGTGCGTACACATACCCTCTCACATACATACCTTCCTACACTTGCCCACCCCCCCCCGCGCCAATAAATCAGTTCTTGGTGGGCAGCCAGAGGACACACAACACCTCTTTGCACATGTACAGACATCAACAACATTTTCAGTGGCTCTTAATTTGGGGGGGAGTGGGTGGGTATGAAATTTAAAAAGTACATAATTTTTACAGTATTCTGACTTCCTATCTCTCAAACATTTTGAGATAATTCTTCAAGCCTTCAGTTGCCCAATCCAGTGTCATTGTGTACGCACAGAAGATACACTAGTTGTGTTAGCAAGGCCTGAACAAATTAGTGATTTGCCATGTCATAGTATCAACACAGCTACTTATCACCATGCCCATACACTAAACTGTGTGTAACTTTTAGCTACTCATTTCTTTTTAAATAGAAAGTGGGGTAACTATTTTTAACATGACACTTGGTTAACTAAAAAACCCCACACCCTTCTGCACCTTTAAAAGTGAACTTCTGGCCAAGAAAACACAATTCAAGCAGTATCAATCAGATTTAAAGTGTCTCCATAGGCTCAGTGTGGAAGAGCTTTCTTCACAATCATGAATGCTCAAATTGCTACATAAATTACCTTTTTTTTCTTTAATAGCTGAGGTAACGACCTCATAAGATGCAGTACAACTGGACTAACGCACATTATCTAACACAGTTAAAAACCATAATTTTCTTGACTGAACCAAAACAAATTACAAAGTGAAAGGCAAGGGTTTGGTAGTGGGGTGGGGTAGAGGTGTGTGGGGGATGGGGTGGTGGTGGGTGTGTGTCTGTCTACATGTACATACCAGTACTATACATTTAAATATTAAAAAAAAGAAAGCAAAGCATAATCAATGTAAAAAGCACAAAAAAGGAAAAAGTACTAGAGTATTAGTATCAGTCTCCCGGCTCTGTAACAAACTCCTATGAAAAGGGCAACGTCACCGTATGACAGTGCAAGAAGGACCAGGGTGGAGAGCAGCAGCTGCACGCGCAGCAACTTACCACAGAAATTTGGCTTTAACATGGTATTTTAGGCAATTAATCATCATCTGAATAATTTCTCCAGAATGACAAAGACATCATTTACATCAAATTATAAACACCTCCCCCTAAACTAAACCCAAAAAAAGCCAAAACCAAAACCTTTAAAGTAAAACTGTAGGGATTGTTTGAGACCACAGACACTGCTGCATCAAAAAGAAAAAGACCAAAAAAAACCCCACCAGACCCCAAACCCCCCACTTTATGAGAAAGTCAGTTAACATACTTGGTAACATAGCAAGTTATGTTTGTGTTTGTTTTTAAAATGGCTCTTAAAGAATGATCCTCCCCACCCCCGCAAGCCCCAGCTACTTGTCTGGAATATCACTGAATGACAGTCATTTGTGTCAAGTAGCTCTTTCTCCTGTCCAGCGCATTGGAAATTGACTTAATTAATTATAAAGAAAGAGCGAAATAAGCCTTATTGTTTAAGAATAATTTCTAAAATAGGAATGCTCTCCCACAGCGGAGAGCTATCGCACCAAATAATCAAACTTGGAGAGAGAGAGACATGAAAATACGTTCTGTTTGGAAAGCCCAGAAGAAAACAAATGTATTTTATGTGCCCATAGTAAGTGGATGCCACTTTTTTTTTTTAAAAAAACTTCTAAAAGAACAAAAATGTAATTAAAAAAAATATGTTACAAAAGGCACTATTAAGCTTGCAAAAGCATTAAGTGCAGTTTTTTTTAGGTTTGTACCAAATCATGAACCTACTGAAGGGTGTTCAGTTTGTGTACAGAACAGTCACGCTGCGGTGTACAACAGCCACCAACCCTGTCCAGGGCCGGAGTCCGACCTGGAACCAGGGTAGCGGGGAGAGCTGTGGGTGGGGGACGCACCAGCCCCTCCCGCCCCAGCCTGCCGCCTGCCCTGCGATGGCCGATGGCCGTGCCCTTGGCTTTCAGGTGGCCATGGAGGTTCCCTGCTGGCTCACTCACTGTGACACAGTGAATCCAGAGCCATCCCTTTTTACCAGCACAGCCCTGGCAGATTTTAATCTTCTGATCAGCTTTTATGTTGTAACAAGAGATAGGTTTGGGTTTTTTTTTAACTAGAGAGCTATCGACACTAGAGCACTCTGTTTCCAGAAGCCTTCTTTCAAGCAACGTTTAAACAGCTTGATACGGAAAACTGTCTTGAGTTTGGAAAAACGTTCTTCAGTCTCAGCATCGTACTGTCGGAACAAGTCATTCTTATGGAAGGCTAAAGAATAGAATTATTGACTGCTGTAACAAAAACTCATTACCACATCAAAACTAGAGACATAGTAAAAGCTTAGATTTCAATAAAAATAATTTTAGTCCTTAATCCTCTCTCTTTACAGTTGGGAAATAAGGAGCCACATCATGGGTCACTGACTACCACTCTAATACATTATAAACTAGATCATTAAGGTATCTTGCTGGTAAATTTTCTGAAATTATTGCTGATGTGCTTTTGTGTAATAACTATTAAAATCTGCTAATGTTAAAAGCTTCTGTGGGAAAAAAACCCAGCTAATTCTTGTATTTATTTTTTTAAATCTTCAAACTAACATTTAAAGGAATACCAGTAATTTCTACAGTGACCCTTTACTAAAGTACCGACTAGAACATGGTGTTTTTAACAGCCTCAGAACGAGCAAAGACTCAAGGTTGTCTGTGTAAATACGTGCATACATACACACATATATGTAAGAGTGTGTGTGTATTCAACTGTCTACACCAAACTGCTGGCGACAAACACTTTCTGTTTATGCACAGGGTTTCGCATTCATACTCAGTACTGGAAATTTGCCGTCTCATTACCCAGGCTTTCTTTCAGGCTTTTTGCTTTGCACCTTACTCCCCCTGCAAGTGGAAGAACATTTTACTTCTTGCCATCAGTTTCCTCTCCTAAGATTTCTGTTTACTGATGATGTGCCTCCTCCGGACTGTCCAAGCAAAAGAAATGCAGCTGAGGGCTAACGGGTTCATTACAGTAATGACACCTGGTGATAGTAGGTACCACCATTTCCAAGGAAAGGTTCAGCTCCCTGCTTTTCTGGCAACAAGGGTTAATTCATAGCGACTGGACA